ATACAGGGTAGGCCAGCACAATTTCATAAATTTTGCAAGTCGCCAAGGTCAGCGCCAGATAAATAAGCTATGCTTATTTCATAATTTTGCAAGTCGCCAAGGTGAGCGCTAGATAAATAAGCTTATGCTTGTGTCTGGAATATGATATTAACGCATAAAAACAAACGTTTACCTAAAAGATGTGCTGGGATTGGGCCATCTGTGCTCACTCGGTCACCGTAACGATCCCGTAGCTTACGCCTAACGTAAGCATGTAGATGCATATATAAAGGTTTTATCTCCTGGAATAACTCGTCCAGAACAGTTTCGAAATCATCTTCCTCATAATTCTCCAGCCACACATCACTTTCATCATTATAGCCTGTTTGATAAATAATAATAATAATTAAAAAAATAATACGTAATCTAATATAGATATTAATTATAATTGTATGCCCATATATAGATTTATTTATTCATTTATTATATATTCGGCATATTGTACAGAGTGATCTGTAATTGGTCAATCATTGCACAAGACTGGAAACTTTGGAAAAGTCATACTGATGCCTTCATCCAGCATTTACAATGGCTGATAAAGTAAAGTAAAGTATTGTACATAATAATAATAATAATAATACGATGATGCCGAGTGAGAGAAAAATAGGCTAAAGCCCGACACCATGTGAAATCCCTCTAAACTGCTAAAAGAACAATGAAAAACAAGTATTAAAAGATTTTTTTACATTTTATAAATTTAAAAAAAAAAGATAGATGTTGTATGGATGTATGTGTAAGTAGGCCTATAATAATAATAATAATAATAATAATAATAATAATAATAATAATAATAATACGTAATCTAATTTACATATTAATTATAATTGTATGCCTATATAGGCATATAGATGTTGTATGGATGTTATGTGTAAGTAGGCCTATTATAGTTAGATACATTTTTGGCAGCCCAGGGGCTGTATTGCTGAGTAAAATAATTAATAGACAACACCATCAACACAAATCGAAACACTAATGATTTACATTAAAATGTCACATTCAACAAAATAAGAAATTGCCAAAGTTCATATGCCCACAGGGACTTGCTCAGTTACAATTAAGGTTTCTAATCATTAATAAAATCGTTTTGAATACATTCGTTTTAGATGAATGGGTGAAATTAACTACTACACAGTAACCGGAATCATACGGTAAGATATGATGCGTGGTAAACAGTGCTTAGACCAAAAAGCGTTAGGATCTTTTATTGTAAACGTACAGGGAGCAACATTTATTAATCTAAGTCCTGTATATGGCAGTATGTACTTTTTATTTTTTAAAACTACTAAGACATTGAATTCCTCAATTAAAATTACCTAATTATCACCTACCAGTATGAAACGTTTTAGCATGAAAATCCGTAATTAACCAATTTAAAGGTCTATGCCAACATTATTCAAATGATATGGACAGTTTCATTCGCCAGTAAAATGAAGAGAAAAATACTCGCTCTAATTTCTTTACTCGCTCAAATTTAAGCTAATAAATTAAAAATATAATATAATATAATGTTATAAAATATTTTCGCTCAACACACACATATAATATAGGCCTATACATATTAAAATTTAGTGAATTATTTATATAAAATAGACCTAATATTATTCATTATTAATATACATTAACAATTACCGGTATTATATATTAACATATTATTAGGGCCTAATCCTTTTAATTATTATTATATTAGCAATAATTAAAGTTAGGCTAAATATACCGTAGGCTTAACAGCGGTTATCATGGTTTTATATAATAAAATAGGCCTTATTATACATTAACAATTACCGGTATTAAATTAGCAGTTATTATGATTAGGCTAAAATATTACCGTAAGCTTAACAGAGGTTATCGTAGTTATTGTTAAGATGAAATATATTAATTTATTATGTAAATATTGTAAGTTCTTTTATGCTATGGCACTTTGAATATGTTACCTAATAAAATCGGTTTACAATTGCATAGTAAATTACCGCGCTTTAACGATGTACATCTATTGCATAAAATTTCCGCAAGGCGAGCGCACTTTCCAGTGACTTAGTCACACGAACTCGCTGTTTAGATTCATGATGATATCATAAATTGTGTGCAAAATGAGTATGCGTAGCAATAAAGCTTCGACGTTATTTATGTATCTCTATTTAATTATATCCAATAGCGAGCAATCTGTCACATAGTTTGCTGTTATTGTAGGCATTTTGAAAATTCAAAAAGCTCGGTCCCCACCCCAGTCGCCCCACCACCAACTGGAAATGTTAGAAGCAACATATTACTCTCAAATAGGTAAAATCACCTTATATGCGAGCTAGCCCCCCCCCCCCATACTTAATCATTGATCCTTCACTTCACACATTCAGACTCTAAAATCGATCAAATAAGCCTTTGAAACCCCTATACGTTGTCATATTTTTCGGGGCTTCGCCCCCTGGAGCACTTTCGAATGAGCGACGCTAAACCACTCCCACTTTGCTCTTGCCGTGGCCATCGGCACATTCTCCCCGTCGGAGACCTTGGACCCTCCGTTGGGCAAATCCTGGCGCCACCCCTATCGACATTATCATCCTCATCATCATCTTCATCATCATCATCATCATCATCATAATCATCATCATCATCACCACCACCACCACCACCATCATCATAATCATCATAATATATACGGTAGTTGTTATTAAGATTATCGTATTTATACCTGTGTTTCGAGCCGCTATGTTCCTAAACTTAACGTATTCAGGATAGAGTTTGCCAATGGGTGGTCCAACTGCATCTCTCCAACCTTTCCATGCCCATAATAACTCGTCATAGTCTCTGGAATCGGACATGATGCTCTCCAAACCAGGTTCTAAAGGCAAACACTCCGTACTAGGCGGGTCGCGGCACACTTTAGCATGGGCATATATTGATAGCATTTCTGTTGTAATAGTGTTGTAGCGCCTGGAAAATGTCGAGAAGAGGTTATATATAGCAATGTGTTCATGGAACGTAATCCAGAAACATAATCCGAAAAAAATAATGTCAAATATTGTTATAAGAACTATTGCCAGCTGTCATCTCTTGGCGGGATGGTTAGTGTTATCTCTGTATACTTTATATACAACATTATTATTAGGACCTCAAACATAATATTAAAGTCTATATGTCTACGGGATTACATTATGTAACACATTTAAATACATAAACTTACTGTATAATTTTAAAATTCATTAGGCTGGCTACTTAAATCGCTGGTTAATCTATTAGACCTATATCTATTTTGTTATATAATGAGATACAAAATAGATTTAGCCTATCTGGCAACTACTAAATGTCAGATAACTCTACTTTATACTTTATACTACTTTATAACTCTACAGTATAAATTGCTAAATACATAAACAATTTACAACAATACCATTTTATTTCCTAATTTCACAATGGATTGATTACGTTCAAACACAATTTTGATACGATTTCTAATATAATTTAAGCCTACTATATAGGCCACAGGTGGGCAAAGTGCGGCCCGACAGCGACTTCTTTGCGGCCCGCGAATATGAATTAAAAAGCCTATGTGTGCCCGCCAAGCAACATTGGCTAGAAAACGCCTTGTTTTTTACGGCCCGACACCTATCATATGTAAAAAGTTATACTGGGAATAAAGTGTTGTAAAAGCAGTGCTTGGTGGTTTTTGGGTGCGGCCCTCGGTTTTAAATCAGAAAGTCATTTTGGCCCTCCGAACGATTTTTATGCACACTCCTGATATAGGCCCTATTATCGAAGTCGTACATTTCTCATATTGAGATTGAACTTTGTACAGGCCGTTAATCTAATTTATATTCATCAAAAGAATTAGCTATAAATCATTTCATTTATAAACACAAACAACATTATTCTTAGATTGACCGTTCATATTGTTTTATTGCTTATTCCTTAATAGCTCCCAAGAGAAAGCTGTACTTATCTAAAAACGAGTAGTGTATACGGAATACAGTGTGGGGATTAGATCTATTAGATCAGTGATGGTCTTGCATTAAATGTCTTAAAAGCCATTATTTCAAGACATGTTGCTGTAGGCCGCATTTTGGATTGGAATGCATTGAGTAATTCATCCGAATATTTATATATGAACATCCCGAGCATTCTGTCCTTCTATTTGATATTTGCTTGATAGGCCTACGCCTACCAAGGCAATCTCTAAGGTTTCTACAAATCAGAGCGTTTAAAAACTGGGATTTCAGAGCACATACGTCACAGGTGGGCAAAGTGCGGCCCGTCAACGATTTTTGCGGACGGCGACAATGAATTCAAGACCGTATGCTTGCGGCCCGCCAATCAAAATTGGCTAGAAAACACCTTGTTTTTTACGGCCCGACACCAATCATATGTAAAAAGTAACGTTAAAACCGAGAATAATGTGATGTAAAAGCAGTGCTTGGAGGTTTTTGGAAGTCACTGGAAACATCAACGTTTGGGTGCGGCCCTCAGTGTTAAATCAAAAATTCACTTTTGGCCCTCGGACCGATTTTTATGCCCACCCTTGACATACGTTGACATTGGCCGTATTCGAATGGTCGTTCTTCGGTAAACCACGCCCACCTGCGCAGTGGTAAAATCCTACTTAACGAAGACGACCAGTCGAATAGATACACGCTGCGTAATCAAGGCTGCTTCGGATTGTGGCAGTATGGGTTTTTCGTAAATGAATGTTTTCATCCAGTTTTTGAATTCTGTTAGCCTACAATTATTGTTGACTTCAATGTGGGTAGATATTATAATTTTTATTTTCTGAAATTTAATCTAAATTATATTAACGCAAATGTTGTTGTTAAACTGACCAATCATTTTTTTGGACACGTGCATAACTTAACGCTGATTAACGCACTCTGGTTACGTTAATTTTCGTTGTCAACGAAGTCGATTTTACGAACCAGTCGAATGAAAATAATACTCAACGAACATTCGCACTCAACGAAATGAACCTGTCGAATAAGCCCATTTATTATAATGGTATCGTTTAACAAACTGCCTGCTCTTCAAAAATCGCTTACATTAAATACATTTTAAAACGTTCAATTTGAGAAACATGCAATTTATCAGGTTCAGCTTTCCAGTTTTTACACGAAAACATTTACTCCGTTGATCGAAAACGAAATGATTTGTTTCCAGCATGTTCAAATATCAGGAATCAATCTACTCTTGGCTCATTGGAAGGAAAGTTTTGCAGAGATTGGAAGCATTGGTGTGGATTTAAAGTAGCTTAATCTGGATCAAATTTCAGGATTAAACTTTAAGAAAGATTTGTGGTAATCTTGGTAATTTGTTTTAAATATAGTTGATGAAAAAGTAATGAAATAAATTTGTTTTATCAAGTATTTGTTTATATCTCAAATAAGTTTTTGATTAAAATAACTTACCTGACTTGCTCGTCATTGCGAAGTTCACCGCCTTGAAGCAATAATTTAAACATTCTTTTTATTTCGTAACTAAAGTTTTCAGTGTTGAATTTCCTCGCCTTTTTTTTAACTTCCGTATCCCAGTCGTGAAGTTCTAAAGAAATGTTATTCATAACCTATCGTAAGAAAGATATTGGTAAAAATTATATAAATTCTAATTTATTATGCCTGGTACTGTATAATGTGTGAAAATAAAAACATGAAAAAGAGCTAACCGTTTTAATTTTATATGAAATTTGTTATCAGTCTGCAAAAATTGCAAACTTACACATTGGCGGATTCGAGAGGGCCCAATTGACTTTCTTGTTCTCTTCTCTTTCGAATTCCTGGATCCGCCACTGATACTGAAGCTACTGTAACAAAACCCAGTACTACTATCACCAGCCACGAGACTATCAAAAGCACTGGCACCACACCGACAACAGCACCAACAGCAAAGCAACAAACAACGACAACATGAACAACAACATAGAAAAACAGTAGCCTCCATCGGAGTCATCATGACGGCAGTTCTCGGGCAACGGAAGAAACATGGCCTTTCAATAGGGAAGCTTTCATCTTTTATTCAAAATACTGATTGTCAATACTATATCAGGATCAGCATTCTTCTCTTTCTTTCAAATGTGAAAGAAAAGAGAAGAATACTGATCCTGATATAGTATTCTTCTCTTTTCTTTCAAATGTGAAATCACAGGAAAACAGTCTTTCGTGATTGGGTGAATGTCTCCAGGATACTGCCGCCAGAGGTGAAACCTCGTATGCTCAAGAAGGTTCATTATACAGTGTAACCTCTACTGCCAATGATGACGGATAGCTCTTCAGTTAAAATGGTGGCAGAAATGGATACTTGCTCCCCCACCTCCACACCCCCCATTACTAACCAAACCATGTAGATAATATTTAAAAGGCTAAAGCTCCGAAGTTTCTCGGGGACCCCCGAAGAGGTAAAGGTACACACAAAATCCCTGTTCTCGTACCATATAGGTTCCGCCTTTAGTACGGTAGCCTATAGGTATTCGGGTCCTCGATTGACATTGGCACCACCACTCCTGGTTAAAAAAATCCGCCACTGCGCACGTGCAGTTCCCCTATCGACACGAAAATTCGAGGGGTTCGAAAGAACCCCCTTTTCCAGAAATGCCCTTTTAAATCATTACTAAAAGTACCATTTTAGTACCATTAAATTTTAACCAAACCATGGTGGGGCAGCGGTGCATATGGACTCAAAGTGCCCTTTAGTGAAAAATTAAAACCACCCCCCCCCCCACTTTTTTTTAAATCCTGGGTACGGGCTTGCTTACTGCAGTAAATCACGAGATAAAAGCTCGGAATGTGTATTCAACAGGCACAGAAAATATGAATGCGGACGCACCAAACGTCTAACGTAAACAAGTTGGCTCTGTCTTAAATTTTGATTATTTAATAAATGTCACTTAACAAATACTACTTACCACAGAGTTATGATCGGTCATGTTTGTCTCGTAATTCCAATTGGCAACGGCTAATTCATAGTTCTTATCAATCAGCTTTGTATTCAACTCCTGCAACCACATTACTGCTAATATTTCATTGTCTATACTACCATCTGCAAAAATATTCTAGAGTATATTAATGATTTAATCGATTGTACCTAAGTGTTACCTAAAACCTATAAATGTATTTTTAAATGATGATTTTTTACAGTATTGTAGAGCCTTTATTTCGCGCGACCTTAATTTTGGCGGTAATTAGAGTCTAGACGGCATTTACTAAGATTACATTACACTATAACTTATAATTATTATATTAATCTGCGTGGTTGGCTTAAACAAGATCATGTAGACAAGAGTGCTCAATGCAGTATATAGCAGAGCAGATAGATAAATAAAAAATGTAACACTGGGTGTGAAAGACTCAGCCTGTAGTGCAATAAAATGTTGAGTCTTTAATCCAGTGTACATGTTTTATTTGTTTAATTTTTATATTATATAATTATATAATAATTAGATTGGATGACGATGATAAGATTATGATGATGATTTTCTAATATTTAAATATTGTATTACATCAAATTAGAGTATGTATTTTATTATAATTGTCCTAATTATAATTGTAAATAATAGAAAAATGAATAATAATACTGATAATGATAGTAATTGTTATTGTCGTGATGAAATAATAGACAATAACTGAATTTGCGTCAGGAAAAACATGTATAGGTGTAATTTTGCCCTACCTGACGTGGAAATGTACCGAATACTCAGTACATTCGCAGTTGTTTTCAAATATACTGAGTATTCGGTACATTTCCACGTCAGGTAGGGCAACATTACACCTATACATGTTTCTCCTGACGCAAATCCAGTTATTGTCTATTATTCCATCACGACAATAACAATTACTATCACAATTACTGCAGTACCCGCTGCTTACTTGGACTCGAATTCAACCCTGGCCATCAGGCGCAAGCTCGGTGGACTAGAGGTATGATGCCAGGCTAGTGATCTGGAGATCGTGGGTTCAAGTCCCACCCGAGCACAACTTGCGATTTTTTCGCAGTTGTTTTCAAATGTACTGAGTATTCGGTACATTTCCACGTCAGGTAGCGCAAAATTACACCTATACAAATACTGATAATGATAATAACGATGAAGATGGTATTGACTTTATAGTAATATTGATATCAATGGTAATAACAACAAAATGGTAGAACGATAATGAAAATAATAATAAAACTACATTAATGGTATTGAATACTTTGATAATCATAATGATACATAATAACAGTGGCAATAAATTATAATCCTAAATAAAAGCAATAATAAAAAATAAAACTACGGTACTACTAATAATAATGAAACTAATAATAGTAATAATAAATAGGAATAAATTTAATATGTTATCTGGAAACCATCACAACTTAGAAATGAAGATAAGTAAATTGAATGAACATCCCCACAGACAATTATCACTTGGACATGATGACGTTATTGTGGGTGAAGACACTCTTTAAAAAGACGATATTAATTTATAGCGGCTGCGTTCTATAATAAACCACTATGACGGTTAGTGGACATAACAGTGAATCAACTTTTGTATTTGATTATTCAGGTCTCCAGGTGGCAATAATGATTTGGTTGAAATTAGCTTAATCTGTGCATACGTCATCAAAATGGGGATTTTTTTTAACGTAGGCCTATAACTGTGCAGTCAATATCAAACGAACAAAACAGATATAATAACTACGGCAAGGTACGTCGTAAGCACTAGTGCCACCCAACACTTTCATTTTGTCAACAGTATTCTTGCGAAAAGATGTGCCAAATCAAATGGAGTTAATAGCTTACTGTAATTGATCCTCTATAATAATAATGATAATATTTATTTGACGTTACACTTTTACAACAGTGGCAGCACACAAGAAAGTTGCGCAGTCAAACTTAAACTAATGAACAAAGAGGAAAACAACAACTTAAAGCTAAACAAAGAAAATACAATTAAGAGTTTAAATAAATCATAAACATCCATCACCCTCCCCACACAAATAATAATACACCTGCACATTACGTGCATACAGTTCTAGATGTGTATAAGAGACAGTATATATATATATATATATATATACATACATACATACATACACACATACACACATACATACATACATACATACACACATACATACATAAATACATATATACATAATGCACACACATATCCTTCTACATGTGCTATTCAGGATTATATTTTCGAGGTTTTTCCTTATTATTATTCTTGGCAGGTGTTACATTTTTAGTATGATTTTTGTTAAGCATAGCTTATCATCGTAATACTATGATCTACCTTCTGCCATGAGAGGAAAAAAAAACATTTTTAATCATATTTAAATTGCCCATGGATGACCCAGTTTGTATATTCAAGTAAGTTATTAAATTAAAATAAAATTTAATGGAAACAATAAAAAATACAATTTTAATGAGAAAAATATGCGCACTCCCCGTCCATAAACAAACAGTTACAGTAATGTAAATAATACAATTCCTGTGTATTCATTTGCAAGGACCCATAAATTGGTTGAGAATACTATTTTTATAAATTATTCGATCCTTTAAATGAGCTATTCAGGACTTTGTATGCCTGGCAGGTGTTATATCTTTAATATTTTCCTTTCATTAAGCATAAATTCAAATACAATTAAGGATCTTTCTGCGATGACATAAAAAGGTAAAAAAATATAATTTATTTTGAATTGAATAATAATGTCGCGTGATGTCTCTGTCTTGTACGATTTGTATCATCTTTTTGGGGGGTGGGGTGGGGGGTTGTTGGTTTTTTTTTTTCCTACACATTTGATTTTTATTATAATTGTTACGGTGGCCAATAATTTTGAACTCTGCTCAGTTTTGGTCTCCTCACCATATTTTGCATTTTTTAAATTTATTATTTTATAAAACGGGTGGTGAAATATAATACTAAATACGGAAAGGTCCGTAGTATAACAGGGGCGGCGGAAACGTTTCAGCAGGTCATGTGCCCGTCTTACCAATGCATAAATAGGCCTATTATGTTATCTGGAATAATATTTTATATTAAAATAATGTAATATCTTTTTCTAAATGTTTACTTATTTTGTAAATATCAGTTTTCTTCCGACAGATGCCGGATGTGCGGTTTCACAGGGATTCTGGCACCGTGAATTTGGTTTCTTAGTTTTCGGCATCCTGGATTGCTCCCCCAGGCCGAATTTTTTCCCTTCTTCCTTTTAGAGAACTTGACTTGAAAAGGCACCAACTTCGATCCCATATGTTACCTAGACAGTTGACCGAAGTTACTGGGGAGGGGGGGGGCAAGACATTTATGTGACATTGGCATTTTTACATGCATTGACTTCAAAAATTAGGTGAATTTCTTTGTTAAAATATCGATATTAAGCAATAATTATGTTTGATTATGTTGATATTGAGGGGGAGATGTTCATAACTTGTTTTATTAATAATTTTCTTCACTGCATGGTGCTGATCATTCGGAACAGATATCGTTTGTTATTATTAAATTCGTTCATGGACATATTGATAATTTGCAATATTTCGTTCTCTGTACAAACATCATTAGTAATTCCGGATGATTTTTTTAAATAAACAGTTAAATGAAAATCAATAATTTGCTCCTCTTATTCAGTTTTGAGTGTGAATGTTATTATATTAATATAATCAGTGGACCACATGTCGTATGTATAACCTTAGTCAGGCTCCAGAGGAAAACGTTTTTTTATATAGGATATATGTTGTACAACTGATTTTTTCTAAGACACAACAAGCATATTTAACAAAAAACTTGGGAACGGTTAATGAGATACAGATTTTTGAATATATAAAAACTAGGGGAAAGGTGGAAAATGTAAGGTTATGCTCCCTTTTCCACCAGTTTTTAAATATTCAAAAATCTGTATCTCATTAAGTATTTCGTCATATATGCTTTTTGTGTCTTAGAAAGAACCAGTTTCTTTTTTCTCTGGAGTCTGACTTTAACAATTTCAACTTCCTGCCATTTGGAAGCAGTTTTCATGCCGTACATTTTTTAGTATATCAGCCCACCACGAACAACGAAGCTGAAATCTTTCAGGGAGGGGGAAATAAGATTCTCTTTGTACACTAGTGAACATGTTAATATTGTGAAAATCTCTTAGTGTATTATGAAGGTGTAACTTGCCTAAATACCAAGTTCAAGTTCAAATAACATTTATTGGCCAATCCAAACCTTTTAACAAAACATTACAATAAAACGTATTGGCATATACAGTACTTAAATATCTAAAGGTAAGAGAAAGATGTACAGATATTCGTTACCTGTCAAACATCGGCTCATGGGACTAAATGAAGAATCATATATGGGATGTAATTAAATTTAACTAATAACATTTATTACTCAATTATTGCTCAGTGTATTAGACATATCTTTAATGACTTGGCAATTACGAATGTTTCAAAACAACACAAACCCAAAGTCGTCTGATTAAGATTTTAGTTAATGACGTCACAAAAGCTGTCTATTCAGATCACGTCGCAATAGTTGCTGATAGTTTTTAAATAAATAAAGTGTATTTTGGAAATTATTTATAAACATAACTAACTTGATACAGTGGGTCTAAGCGGTACTTGAGGGGCAGTGATTCGACTTTGAATCGGTGGTCATCGGAAGGGTATAGGCCTGCGAAACAACCGCGTAATAGTATTTGTCAGTCAAATATCGCAATAGCCGGAACATCAATGGACGATTCAACCACTTATATATCTTGTCTCAACAATCTTGAACGTATTGACTCATGTTTAGGTCTTTTACGAGTGGCCATTCAGTTAATGGTTAAGTGGAAAGTTAACAAAATAGACTCAAGAGATTAAACCTCTCTTGAGTTAATCGCTAAAACTCACATATTGTATATCTTCTCTCTTTTACTAAACCATTTATTGCTGCTTTATTGAAGACTTCAACGAAAATACTTTTAATATTATACTTAGAAAACGTATCTTTGATAGATTTAACCATGGCGGAAGAAAATGTTTTCTTCCTCCATGCAATTATTGAAAATGCATTAGATTTTTCTAATGTTTGGATTGCATAATGTAAATTTGATAAACAGATTGCAGTATTTGTCCAGTATTGGATGCAACGCAGTTATGACCTTTGTTGGATGAATTATACTGCAAGGAATGGAACACAGTAAAACTGGATTCATTTAAATAAACAAGTTTTTTGTGGGCGAATATCTATTCTCTTCTTTTCTCTCCTTTATATTTACATATCTATCTCCTTTTTTTCATGAGAGAGAGGGAAAGATGAAGTGGAAGCCTATATTTCTATTTCTCCGTCTTGGGCTCTATATTTCCCCTCCCTAAAAAGAAATCCAACGATGATAAATGGCCGTCAAATTTCTAATCAACAATTATTTTTTGTTCGTGTCATGCTCTATAGGCGTATATGTTGTGCTTATTGCTTGAGTAATACCTTTAAGATTAAACATTAACGAAACATCTTCTGATCGTATCGTGCCGCTGTTACGAAATTAATTTGATCCGTTAAACGATTAAACGACATAGTACACAGCTATATGGGTATTAGTTCGATCATTAAAGTCATTCAATACATCATTATCACTCCTAACCATAATCCATTCATCAAATCTCTATAAATCCCACGAATTTATCCCTAATATTGGTGGCCATTAACAAGTCATTCACATATTGTACAAACATGGGAATTTGCCTATACATAGGCCTATGAATGCTCTATAGAAGCTGCCTTTTAGATTCACCTTTCGGTCTTCGTCTGGCGTGTCCTTTCGCGGGTTCTTTCGTGGTTTCTGTGATCATCTGTGAATAACTGAAATCAATACCCGGAAGTCCAGAGCTGTTGATTTTAATTTTTAATCGATATCACAGACAAATCGATAAGATAATGTGTCAATAGTGTGATTACGAATACCACGTGACATATAGGCCTAATAACATGAGACTTTACATTGAATACGACTAAAGTGGAGAATACTATTGTACATAAAATATACAAGTAGGCTAGGCCTTATATACTGATGAGATTTAAGGGTTCCCTTATAAGAGAAAAAGCGGGAAAAAGAAAAAAGGGTTCAGTGGAAAACTTATGGCCAGGGCTTCTGGGATATCAGGGCCCGTTTGGTGAATTTAATCATCCTTTTTATGGTGTTTATGCAAGGGGATTTTGTGTTGTTTATCAGAGTGGTTTCACCGTGATCGAAAAAAGCCGGGTTTGACAAAATCAGAGCTACCCTGGTTACGAACCTGATTATAGATAGGCCAATGCTTGTTTAAGAGATTCAATTAAGTCTGATAGCGATGTTTATTTTAAACATAGGTATATCTCCTCAACTAGATGGTGGAATTCTATGTTTCTGACAATAATCTATTTCTCCACACCTGGCCTAACAAAGTGTCCGTTGAATCATGGTTGAATCTAAAGGGCACACAATTGGATAGGTATAGTCGCAGAAAGAACGAAAATTAGCTTACCTTCGAGTTCGTCTGAAATACCAGTAGCTGACACGTGACTAGTTGAACAGAAAAGGACCAGGATCAAAAGCCAGAAAAACATTCTTCCAACTTCCATAGTTGTGTCCTGTAAGACGAAAATACAAGGGTATTTATGATACAGTAACTGAACAGCGTGCGCGCAACGGCCGCAGGTACAGAATTATACTCGCGTTTGTCTGTACACAGAGTGTTTTATAGAATCAGAGGTTAATGGTTTAATGTGAAACATTGTAATAAGATATCCATTCAATAAAACCTTACCTACGTAAATTCATTTAACCAATCAAATTACAATGTTAAAGACACTTTCGACGTCACCACTTGTAAATTAAAATCAGATTGACACTTTGGACAAATAGCCTACTGTAATTATGAGCTAAACAAGACTTAAAAATACATTGTTAAAATAACCGATCGTAACGACACAAAACTTTTATTTCATTTAATTTCTTTGTTGATTTAATTTTTTTTTTCTTTTTATGTATAGTCTTACTGCACAACTCCCAAGTAATATCGGACAATGAAATACAAAATTAGGGTAAAACTTTCAAATTTAATAGTCTTTCATGTAAAACCTTTTAAAATCCATTAAAACATTGAACGAAATTATTAGGATAAGAAGAGGACAGAGTAGGACCTACTCTGGTTGTGAAGTCGAAAAATTTGGTGAGGTCTTCTGATTTTTGATCAGTACACCGGGAGACAATCTCCTTCGCTTTTCCGAAGCGTGTTCTGCGTTCTTTAAACGTGCACATGGGCCCGGATTACACGTCTGAAACAGCTCATTCAGTGCGATACTATCTAACGTATAGGCCTATACCTCCACCCAGCTAACACCCCATACACCAGCTGTCTTCGCTCTAGCCTAGAGAGCCAAACCTCTTGAAAGTTTTTGCTTACCAGAGAGTAGGCCTAACAGTGCCATCTCATAGAACATGTTAAGTCACTCGTTAAACTATAAACACTGGACAGCTAAAAAACAATACGGCAGTGGAAAGGCACCGCCATCGTCCAGACCAAAACGGTGGCTATCACCGTTTAGCAGACTGCGCTATAGCTGCTAGCTCTTAACTTTTATAGATTTTACATGACTAAAATATTTACGTGGTTGAATATTTCTCTGTAGGCCTAGGCAGGGGAGAAAGACAGATTATCCTTCTGTCAATTACTCCGAGGCTGTGAGGTAGCACCTATATCAGAGATGAGACACTTCTCAACATTTAGGCCTACAGGTTTCTGCTCATCGTGCATGATTGTTTGCTATTGCAATATTTGACTGACAAAATAATATTACACGGTTGTTTCGCAGGCCTATACCCTTCCGATGACAACCGATTCAAAGAATATATATAAACAATATATATCAGCAACTATTGCGACGTCATCTGAATAGACAGCTTTTGTGACGTCATTAACTAAAATCTTAGTCAACGACTTTGGGTTTGTGTTATTTTAAAACATTCGTAACACTTTCGACTGGCATCGTGAATCACAAAAAGCATGATACTCTAGCCCTCCAATGAGTGAGTGGGGACAACACTATCGCTGCGTCGGACAGATTTGTTTCCCTAAAAATATATAATTAGTGTCGTTATTCTTTTTGGGTCTGTACATAGCAAAGTGACGTGGAATTATGCACAAGTTACCCTTTTTCTTTAGGTTTAATTCCAATGAACTGCCGGTATTTCGCTAACGCCGCCTTCGGATATTGTTATATAAAATAGCGAAAAATGCGATTGTGGGACATGTGCGTATTCCTGACCCTGATCTGATTGGTCAGTTGTTCAGTTGGAAAGGTCCATTGCGACGGGCTCAGGTGATGGAAATTCACTCGACGGGTTTACCATTAATGGGCGTTAAAGTAAGCTTTGTCGGCTACCGTATCCCACACAATTAAAAGGGGGTGCTTGGCAGCATGAGCACCCCATATACACCACTGTTGTCGATGCCTTATTGGAGCTGATAATTTTGGCTTCTTGATTCTTAGAAAACAGCACCTTAATATTTTAATGGATTTTGAGGAGTGTCCATCATTCTACTGTACTATAATTGTTTTTTTAATTTTTTTTTTTTTGTCATAACTTTCTCAATTTGCTTGGAAAGCTATTAATTCGTGTTTCGGTAATTATTTGTGGCAGTAACATAAACTACGATTATAGAAATTGACACTAAGAACATAGAAGCAAATTACCATACGGAACAGCTTTGGCGAGTGATTGTCGTGGTTAATGATTTGTGCAACGATATTCATAATAACATGATGCAGCGTCAACAAACAGGTTGCACGCGTGTACAGCTGAAGCGACACACTTGGTGATTACAAAATGAGAATCAAGTGAAATTAATTGACGCTAGGGAAAGCCGGTGGCCGTACGATTAGACTAATTACAAAAAACTTGGTTAGTATGCAGTTGTAGGACATAAGCGGTAAGGAAATGGAACGGCACCCGTTTCAACTCATTACCACCGGGAAAAATATTTCCCTGGTAATACGAATTTACGTATATAGGCCTATGAAGGACAATTTATGAAGGCCAGCAAAACGCAACACAACAACAACAACAGCAAGGACAATAACAATAACAATAAAACAAATAATAATAATAATAATAATAATAATAATAATAAATACATAATACGCCAATTTCAATATCGAAGGTGCAGTTAACCCTCAATGTTTGATATAAAGTGGGCTTTTAATTAAATTTGAAAGATACCGTAAAACCTCGAATTGAAGCCCAGTGGGCTTAATCTCGACCCCCCCCCTTTTTTTTTTTTGTTTGCAAAATTAGCCTCAAGAAGAAGCCTATCTCGAAAAGAAGCCCATGGGCTTCTTTTCAAGATATCGTAACTTCTTTTTGGGACAGTACAAACACTGTACATGAATTTCAGAAAACAAAACAAATTAAAAACAAGCTTGGTTTATACAGTAGTTCAGGTGATTTAATATCATTTACACTTCATGATATAAATTGATGAAATTCACAAAAAATTACAGCATTCATTTTGAAAAGAAGCCCCTCTTTACTTTGCAAAAGAAAAGAAGCCCATCTCGAAAAGAAGTCCATCTAAAGTTTGCAAAAAAAAAAAAAAAAAAAAAAAAAAAAAAAAAAAAAAAACCAGGGCTTCAATTCGAGGTTTTACGGTAGTTGTGTAGGTACATTATTTTTTTAAAATGTGAATGCTGGTTTCAGTGGCTTGTGGTTAAGTCTTCATTGTGTAGGCTATATATAATCAATGTTTCTGCGAGCACAGTAGTGATCAAATAGTGGTAGAAACAGTCCTCGAAAAAAGGAACATTGATGCAAATATTTTTTATCGGGTATAACCTATCAACGAAAAAGTTCGTCATAAATTGTTTTAATAAGTTTCCCCGCCCTGAATTTAACCCACGTTCTCTCGATGACAAGGCGAGTGTTATGGGGACGCTGGTATATTGCAATCCAAATAGGACACACAACAAATACACGCCCTCTCAAAGTGGGACTGAGTTAAGATAGAGTTCAATATGTATATATATATGTTATTCGAGTACTTTTTCTATCGATATTGATTTATAGGTCATATATAATTGTATGTATATCTTATATATATAAATAGTATATATGCATCCATGCAACATACATTATAATTAGATATATACCGTATAGTATTTGGGGAAGAACTGTAGGCTTCGTTATCTGGATATTACCCCTGTCCTCAAATTCATTAAAGATATGGGTCCGTGTGACCCCAGAAAACTGAAGATGAATAAATTGTGTTGGTTTGATTATTCGGCTTAGGCCTACTTATTGCCGAATCTATCATCATTAGTGATGTATAATTTGTAGTATTTTATTGATCATTTTAAAGCTAGGCTAACTAGGACATCTGTAGCTTATGCATGACGAGACGCACAGAAGCATCATTAGAGTTGTATGTCATCTTCTTCTGCGTTTTGCTTCAGTTGATCGAGTCCTTTTTTTCTGCTAACAAAGACGCAACGTTGTAGTATGATAACTCTATCGGGACACTTTCATAAAATATGCATATAATCCCTTTTTTAACGACATCCAATCTAAGATACAGCATCTGATTCGATTTGTACTCAATGACTTCAGCAATCACTGAATTATTCATAGTTACATCCACCGCCATGTTGGTTTTTTTCAAGGAACACTGAATTTTCCTACATTTCACTAATTTTGTAAATTATCATTGGAAATTATACTTTCACTAACAATATACGAAAGTATACTACATATGTTGAGCATGGTATAGACTGTTGCAGCGTCATTTAAAAATGTTTCCGTATAAATAAGAGAGAGCAATATCATAATAAGCAGGAACTGTACAGTTGAAAGTCGTTATATAGTTGGGTAGGTTTAGATTCAAACCACCTGAAATGTTTGGTAGTTCTATCCTTCCCGCACCCCTACCAAACAAAAACCCTGTATTCACCCATGCTATTATTTTTGTTATATGTTATCTTTGTTATATGAACAGACTATCTATAACAAGCCTACTGTAGACTACGGTACTCAACAACTTAACTATTTTAAAACAAATTTTAATTAAAAAGGAAAGGATTCAACTGAAATTATGCTGCTGCAATAGTGGTGTAGACCTACTTATCTAGAAAAATCACCAGAAAATGAAACGGCCTACCGTAAGCCTATTATTAAGGCATCCACATTGAATGAAGGATTCCCATTAGCTGTATACGGTGTTCGGTCTGTGCGTTGGGTTATTTGAGACATTGAGTTATTTTGCAGTTTGATTATCTCAAATCGGTCCCTGAGCCACTAATCATTGGCCCCTGGGCTGATAATAAGTTCTCCGCTTTGTCGACGCACGTAAGTGGAAGGGTCGTACTAGAAATAATACTTTACCTACCCGACAGGCATAACAATATATTTAATCATTTATATGATTATACCTCTCTAACTCGATTTGAAAATTCGATCATTTACTGCCATTCTTGAAATGGCAAGTGAATTATATTGGACTGATAAGGTAGCTGTGCTATTTATCATCCTAATGGTTCGGTAGTACGTACATTCGTAACGCGTTACAATGTAAGCGAAAACGGAATTACGTTTCGTTTGTATTGGTAACTATTTTATTAGGTAGATCAATCGAAAGCCATTTCTAAAATATCGACACTATTAGTGGAAAACATATCAAATAAGCGTAAAAATGAAAGAGAACTCAAACTGTTGGACGAGAGAAGAATCAATCCTGACTGCAACTACATTATTATTACAACCGCAGTAATAACAATAAATAGGCCTAGGCCTATTTGTTATTGTGCTATCATAAATGTCAATGTTTCATTATTGTTACGGGATCAAAATATTGGTAATCCATCGAAAGGAATGGTAAAGAAAGGACATATAATTATAACTGTTTAGTACGGTATGAAAGCGAGTTCTGAGAGAAAGAGATAGATGCACACATAATGTTAAAGCGGGGGATATTTTTACCATAAATATAATTATGTAAACGTAAAGTATATTACATTTAAGTTATTGCGAGTGCTGAGATAAAGAGAGAGATGCACACATGTACGGTATAATGTTAAAGCGGGGGATATTTTTACCGTAAATATAATTATGTAAACGCAAAGTATATTACATTTAAGTTATTGGTATGAAGACATTAATATCGAATTGAATGATTAATATCTATGAGATAGCTGGTGCCGGTTTACCGGGTAGCTCAGACACTAAGGGGAGAAGGAAGATACTGAATGAGCTATTGAGCGCTCTGATCTTTATGAAATAGCGCTATATAGCTATATACTGTAAATGTTGTGAGATATCCAAATATCATTTTTTCAAATGATGGCAAAATATAAATAATAAGTATTATTTTGGACTTCATATTTCTGTTGCACAAACAAGTTCTTTATTATGGTGAACTCGTGTAAGTCATACTTATTCTATTTATTTTATTCCATCAAAATCGTAAGCTCAATAAATACATAAACCTAAATCACTATAACTGCATGGAAATTGTTATTTGGCTTGTTGAGGCTAAGTCACCATATTTTTGCTCTTACCGTAGCTTCCACTGTAGCCGCAACAGCTTCATTCAGCGCTCTACGTCGTTATCATTATCGTCGTCATTATCTTGATCATTGTGATATTTTCAATTACACAATGACACAGAGAGCAATCAAATCATGTTTCGCTCTTATCGTTTCGATTGAAGTCAACTAAATGGACAAATCGTCCTACTCAATCCATATTCTCCAAGGCCCCAGCTTCCTAACAAAACGCTAGGGTACTTCATGTTTTGTGACCTCCGACTTGACAGATTCTTATCACCTGTTCAATCACATACTTCTCTTGCTTTATATACTCAATAACAATTATATGACTTTTCTTTCATTTTTTTGTTCAGTTACAACCTGTTCGAAGTTTTACCAGCCTCTTTAATGGAAGTTTCTCAATAGCTTTCTTCGTTCAATTAACCTGATGGATTATCACCGTTCATATCGTTCAATAATAATTGTCAATTGCTTTATTCTGTTCACAGTGCCCGATTTATATAATCGTGTCAGATTCGAGGTAAGAGTTATTTCAGTACGCCGAAGGATATGTTCATGTAAACTCTGAAATGGATGACTGAATTATGAATGAATACACTTTCAATAAAATAGAAGATATCAAAAAAGCAGAAATTATAGCCATAGATGCACCCATTACAATCTGTTTTTTCGATGTTCTTTAATCATTAGGTTCACCAATCGATAATACACTCCACAAGTACTTACGCTTCAGCACCGTGTGTGTGTATATAATTTCTTATATATTTGTAATGGATTGTATAGGTTCCGTATAATAGTAACATCTAGGTCTATACAAAATTATTTTAAAACAAATAATACTGTAATATGTGGAAAATACTGTAATACGTGGAAATTCCCTTAAAAAATAAGTAAGACGTTCTATTTCCTCCGGGGCCTGGCTTATAACAGCCTAATTTTGTAAAGAATGGAAAAATAGTTGTCAGTTGTCAGTTAATTAGCAAGAACCTTTTTCAATATTCGATTAAAAGCTAATAAGGTTAGCATACAATTATAAGAAAATATACCACTATTAAATTTTAAAATGTTTCTTTTTTTATAGCTCATCACATTAAACAATGGCCGCGGTTCGACTACCAGCGAACATTTTTTGATTGTTTTATTTGAATTCTTAAAACATAAACGCCCAACATACATTGCGAGACCAGGTAATAAGAACGTTCGATAATAATATTTCAATAATAACTTTAATGCTTATAGGCATAGTTATAATTATCGTATGAAATAATTATATTATCAGTTATTATACAATTAACAAGCTAGATGCACTAATACAGCCTCAAGTAGGTTTCGGAACATGGATTTACTTTGGTCGATTAACTAACATGCTATCACCTTGACAAAATTACATTCAGAATTACTTTTCTTACAAGATACACGAATGAATTACTATAGGCCTATGCCCTACTGATGACCTATGAGAGTTGTGTTCAACCTGAATTCCCAGTGGTTACTGTTGATAACAAAAATGATATTTATGATAACTTCTATGTTCTAAGAATATATCATATAACTTTACCAGATTATTAAACTAATGTATTCATATTTATCAACAGCATAAAATGACAACATACGGTAAAAAATGTAATATAGTTGTAGTAAAATAGTTATTAAAATAAATGTAGGCCTCATATTTATATGGAATAAATTATGAAGAACATAATATCGGCAAAAATAATCTTACCTTTATTCCTATATAATATATATAAGGCCTATATATATAATATATATATATATATATATATATAGATTATGTATAGTCTAATATTTTCAAATAAAAAAATGTTTTTATGATCGTGTAACAGCTATAATATAAATACAAATCTATAGCACAAAACTACTCTATACGTACAAAATGATATTATTCAATCTTACCAACAGGAAAAAATCCGATCCCAGGTTCAACCTAAACTTTTTCCTGTTGCACCAAGGGCTTGGATCATCACATGTGTTGGATCCAATAGGGCTAGTTATTTATTCTTCTGGGTAAGACCACCACCGATGTAAATGCAAAATTATATCTAAATTACCCAATTTTATTTTGTAGGCCTATTAATACCATACCATTTAAATACAAAGGTATATTAATTACCAAACCGTTGTTCTTGGTAAGTCAGGCTCAGACATGCCATATGCAGTATGTACCTAAAGCGTCCTTGCTTGTGATACAAACATAATGCTACTAAGGGACTAAATCAAACCTGCGTTTCACGTTGGTTTCAGTTACGCGCTGAGCGTTTGCTTCCATGGAAATCGCGCTGTGCTTTTGTGTGTCCTTCATACTCGTTGGTAACTAAATCGGTATTTCTTTAATGGGGCCTATACTCTTGGTATACTATTTTCGGTGGTTGTATCATGGAACGCCACCCGTGCACCCCAATATTGCACCTCGTTGAAAACGGTTAGACCTACTCCTGGTCTCAAGCGATTTATGCTCATCCCAACTGACTAATCCCCGACAAGTGCCGTCAAACAATTAAAACTGTCGACTGCCAGCAGCATTAAACGAATTATCTCTTGTCCAGTTTACATGTTTAGGCCTACTTTATTGATGCCTAAGAATTGATTGTTATTTTCTTACTAGATCTGTTAAGGGGTGGTTTTTTTTCGAGTAGTATAACAATATTACAACGAATTTGGGCCTAGTCTAGTTTTAAATTTTACAAACCAAATGTGTTTATATCCTATATATACGGAGAGCTGAGTATGACCATTGTGTACACTCCTCGGATGAATTCAATGCATTGTTGGTATATAATCTCTAAAATCTATAGATACACTTCGCAATATGAAATTCGAATAACAATATGTCTGCATGACCGATGTACCATGTATTTTAATGTTTTCCTTTGTGACTAATAGGCCTACAGTATTAAATTATTTGTTAAACCTGAGCTATATAAAATATTTATATAGTTGTCTCATGTTAAACGAGAATCCGTATAGGCATATCATTATTATTTGGTAGACCTTTATCGATGTAAGATTACCATTATGTCTACAGTTTTATGATTAGCCTACATTATATCGGCCTAAATAATATATCGAATAAGACATAACACAGTCCGTAACATTCGATTTTCCTGAATCATTGGCCTAATAATGGTATAAAAGCTATCTTCGAGTTGCCGATAGTCTAATATTTGTCTTAATATAGGCATATACCTCACGTACCATCAGTGTGATTATATCAATAAACTATACAAACATAATCTATACATCAAAGTAGGGACTACAAATCATGTCTGAAACCGAATTGATATTTATTGTGTTTTAATGCAGTATATGCAAGAGGTATACTGTAGTAGTACCATGTTATACAAAGGCATAAAAAATAATAATGCACACACTTCTGTAGGCCTATAATAGACAAATCCAAAAAAGGGTTAATACAACTCACCTTCACTCAAGAATCCACACAACCATGGAGGCGGTGCGTTAGCACCCTTCAAAATGTAAACACGACGTTGCGTTTCAGGTGTATCGGTATTATTACAACTCGGTGCGGTAATGACGTTAGGCTTTATTTTTAAAAAGTCCCTTATTACTAGGTGGATCTCACAAACGCAAAAATCGATCTAAACCATATGGCTTCAACACATTTGATTTGACGTGACTACATCGAAAACGTTGCCGCTACTCTCTGCCATTCGCTACCTGATGGCTGACGTAGAGGTTGGTTAAGCCACACTACGAAGAACGGTTCCTGTCGACCTCTAGTCATTCATCCATTTATTGTGATGTTAATCGTTGGTACACAGACGGATACACCTATTGTCAACTTCATCAAGTAATCACTAACCTCGTTTTATAATATTAAATCCCCAATTCAAATAAAGGTTATAAGGTCCACTGCCATGATTATGTCATCTTCGTTAACAAAATTATTACGAATTACTTATGTATTAAGATCGATGACGAAATTGGATGAGTGAATTACAATTAATAATTGCGACGCGTTACCCGTGTTGTAAACATTGCTGAGAATTAGATTAGACCAGTTTTTCCTGAAACATCAGTAGCTCAAATACAACAGCAATAAGCCATACACCTCAACAGCAAACCATAAGCAACAGTAACTAATCATAAACTAACACCCACATTAATGGAAGATAAATAATAATTAACTAGATTAATTGGCACTTATTTTAATGACATGTTAGACACGATACTGTATATCAATGTATATCAATAATTAGTATCGCTTTTATGTTTTCAACAAGGAGTAACGGTTAGTCAATATTATTTTGGGCACTGATCTAAAGCTGAATTGAATTTCAAAAAGTAAAGTAAATCATATCTCCTTGGGTAAGTACTGTATTATGAAACTGAATGATGATATTCCTTTTGTTGGATTAATGCCTTGTGTATTTCGCTTATCATAAAATTAGAAGCAACCGCAATTTTCACAAACTGCTGTGGTGGCTCTGATTGGAGGCACGGTTCGTCAGCGTGTGGCCAAGTCTGTATCCTTTCCCTGAAACTTGTCATCTCAAGTGCCCAACTACTAGAAAAATTAAAAACCCCAAAATCCTACCGAAGTCAAGCATCCTTTAATGTACAATGAGTAGGCAAATATGTGGGTGTGTATCCTTAGTAGATGTGGGCGGAGGCAGTAGTCGACAAACAGACGCTCGCTCCCCACAACAGCAAAACAAAATCAACCAAGCGTGAACGTTTAGATAAGAGATTAAAATCCGGGGCTTCCCCTCACAGGGGCTTCCCCTCACAACCAGTGGCGCATTTAGAAGTGAATTCGATGGTTAAGTGAGGGGAAGCTAGGTCGCAAAATAAGGAGATATGAGGTGATTTTTAACCACTTGAGCATATTTTTACTTTGGACATTTTCAATGGAGCGGGGGAGGGTTGGCGAGTATTTTTTGGGCGAGCGTGGGCACCCCTCCCCACGCAACCTCTAGATACAAAAATACGGGCGTTATTTTCATACTAAATAATAAACGTTTTAATTTTCTTGCTCTAGATTTAAATTTAATATCTAGTCAATTCTAAATTAATTAGCTGAATTATCAGTGTGTATAGGACGGTACTACATAGCTGTAGGACTTGCCACGTATTTGTCAATAGAGGCTATTTTTATAATTAGAGGCTTGTTATTTAATATTTTTTATGATCATTCAAATTAAACGTAATCATGTTTGATTATGTACGGTATATAATATGGAAAGCCATATGGGAAAACCTACCCTTTGAATGTCAACAGAACAAAACAAATAATAGTTCAATATTGGTTGCACCATTATCATTAATCTATTATCAACATTGCACTGTGTCTTCCCAGATTTCTAGCGAAGCTAAGTACATTTATAAGAAAATATTGTGAAACACCAGTATCTGATCCAAACTTCGCTATATTCCGTACGACCTTCGTTGCAATTTCCGACTCCACCTCATCTAAAATGCTTTTTTAGGTAAAATAGCCAGACATATAATCATGTACACATCAGTGGCTAAATTGTTTTCGTCTCGCAAATTTTGGCATGTTACTTTTATGAAACGAATGTAATTATAGAATTCACACTTTCATACTTAACCTCGATCTGGATTCTAAAATTCGGAGAAAATTCGGACAAATTACTGACAGCAATGATGAAGTTTAGGCAGTTGAATGCATTCGCAAGTACGGCTTGGTTATCCCAGCGGAGATTGTAAATTCATAATGGCGAATGAATTAATCAGAATTAATGGTCGTAGAATTTTATTGACATTACTCTTCTTCTCTCTCCATGCTTTAGTCCAGTAATATAAAAGCTCATTCTCAAATTGATTTAATCTAGAATTTGGAGCAGCAAATCTCCAACCTCGGGATTATCGGTACTTAATGTCCCCCCTTGGGAAAGCATGTCGTGAGCATTTTACACGAATAGGCTAATAATCATGCAACTTTTGCAGACATCTAGGCCTATTTGATTTCGGTAAAATTAAAATAAATCCTCATTTGAAGTAAAAATTAAGTTGTCTTTCAATAACCATATATAACAAATTATTTCATACACACATTATCAAGATTAAATCTGAATTCGATTAATTACGGATATATGGTTTAATTTACTTTACATCGACAGTAAGTCAATAAGCAGTATACTGATTTCCCTTGTAGAAGGTTGGTGGCGCTGTTGCATAAAAAATTGTTATCAAGATATAAAATTCTGACGTACAAACAGGTATTCAAAACTAATGACGCTAAAACGTTGGGAAACATTAAAACTATTGTAATCTGTTTTAAACAACTGGTCACAATATGTAAAAATATGAAAAATATAGATATATTTTGCTCTTTAATATATTTCTATAATTGAATATTCATTTTTAGATATTCTATCGTTGACTTAGACCCATTGCTTTGTCAAGAAATCGGGCAAAGTTTTCAGGCTGCCCCTTTGGATATGGCTTCAAATTTGATTCATCAAAGTTCTTCAGAGTATCTAGTAGGGTACTGAAATAATAGAAATATAATTATGTGAAAATCTCATCTATCACAATACAGTATTAAGAAAATAGATTAAACATATCATAAGCTCGCTACAACATGTGCACAGTATCTAATAATTGTTCCTTTTTAACTACAGACGCTTAAATTGGCTGATAATAAATTTAAGGCTTTTGTAATTAAGAAAAGTCAAAATACTATTATTGAATTATTGAATTTCATGTTTTCAAATGAGTTTAATGTTTTAATTGAATTTTTCATAATTTATATCTTTATATTTAAATACTAAGAATTTCAAACATTTATATTAAAATTCAAAATCCTCAACACAGTAATGTCAAGTTTAAACAAAGCGTCTTAATACGTTACCTGCATGTACAGTATTGGAGATGACCATCCTCATATAATTGGTAAGCTAATTCTATTTGATGATTGCCCATTAACAGCTCGTTAACTACAACAATTAGTGGTTTGCCAGCTTCAAGCGTTTCCATTACACTGCCAGCACCTTCAGGAAGACAAGATAATGCGACAGAATAAAACAGACAAAAATTTGCCAAATCTTGCTAACAACATATTAAGTATCCCAGAAATGTACATGTATGTGCATTTTATACTTTTCAATAAGGAAGGGGTTTCATGTTTCCTATGATCCTTAGGTGTCTCCTGAAAATCAGCACGGTATCATGGTACAGTATCGGAATACCATGTGATATTTGCCTTGTGATTTCCATGACTGCTCCTCAGCTAAGATTCTGAGCAATGCAGCTAAAATTTTAACGGTGTAAAACAGGGGTGAGCACAAAAATGGGTCAGTCGGCCAAAGGGAATTTTGATTTAATACCGATGGCCGCACCCCAACTTTGACGCTTCCAGAAAACCTTCATGCACTGTCTATACCACCTCATGCTCAATTCTAATATTAAGTTCTACTGATAAGCAGCTTCAGGCTTTAAAAACAAGGGGATTTCAATAGCTAAAAATGTTAGGTGTCCTGCACATTATAGGGTTGTCATGGACCGCAAATTAATTGCCATTGGGCCACTTGTGACCTGCAGGTTGCATTTTGCCAAGCTGTTGTATAAAAGAAGCCAAAAAAGTTAAAGAGATTGAATTCACATTGCGAATAGCTGAACTTTGCCCACCTATGTTATAAAAGTTGCCAAAAAAGTTAAAGTAATTTAATTCACATTTCAAATAGCTAATAAAATTCTACCTGCATGACTAATAATTAGATCAGCTTGTTTAATATCTTCAGTAATTGAATCTTTATATCTGTAGTATTCAAGTCTGAAGTCCCTTCTTGAAATCTTTTCTGGCTCAAAGGTTCCACGTCCAATTTGAAGAATAACCTTAGTGTAGCCAAGCCTTTCTAATTGCTGAAAAGACACCAAATAGAACAATTTATAAATAAAAGCACATCACAGCTCAGTTCCTATTCATCCATCCATCCATGGGAATGTTTCAGCACTACATGGAAATTGCATTCCGTATAGTTTTCCAGATAATAACATATTACTAAGTTGGCCAAAAATTCAAGAAAATGTTTTGTACTGTACTGCTGACATGCTGCTTTATATTATGAAACTACTTGATATGAACTAATATAGGGTCATCATTGCAAATTTGCTAATTTATTAATTAGATTAATTAACAACTATTCCATCAACACATTATTTAATGTGAAATTTCAGGGGGAAAAAAAGTTTTTCTTTATTGTTATTACGCCCGCCGTTGCCTTGAATCTCCAAAACAAAACTATTTGCTAAACAAGAAAAGAAATTTTATTTTTATTTTTAAGTTTGCGAAACAAGGAATAAAAAAGCAATAACAAAATTGGTGTATAGTAGGTTTAAATAAAAGAATGACTTCATGTGTATACTGTAAATGAATCAATAAACAGAAACTGGCCAAAAGGACCATATTACAGCGTGCAAGTTGATAATATAGCGCGATACCTAATAAGGCCAGCCTGTCCACAATAATAGACTGTAGTATTAATGCTGGCCAGTAATGCCCTACACCAGTCATCCATATGGACCGTCAGGTGATCAGTGAGATGAGCCACCACGGCGTGGATCAAAGTCCTGTACTGTGTAGTAGGGTAGGCCTAGACAGAGAGGCTGGCCTTTCTCTAGCTAACCTAGCCTGCTAAGACAATAATCTCAATTAACCTGACCGTTGTTATGGGCAGGCTGGACACAGTTTCAATCACAGCATCAAAGCTTGTAGTTCCTACAGTTACAAAAGCAACCTTTTCGGCGGATTTAACTGTCGTCATGTTGTAAAATAAATCCGTACGCTTTCACAGAGTATTATGTGCTGGGACTTCCTTGTTTATACATACCGCCATCTACAGTTTCGTTTAAACAAGACCGGACAACTTTTGTTGTTGTTGATTTCAGAATCAATACAAATCAGTTCCGAATAGTTGTGAATAGTGATTTTTAATGTTTTAAATTTTTTTAATGTTTTTAGGAGTTTTATTATTGTGTCTTTTAAAACTATTGAAATCGTTCATTTTAACTTAATTTAATTTAATATTTCTCATTGTACAGTGTTTGTATGCCATGGTATTAATTTCCTTTCTGGTACTCTCGAATTAGAATCAGAATTTGAATTTTTGTTAAGCTGATTGAAATTTAAGGAAGCTATTAACAATGCCAGTTTTTGAAGAAAAACGACAGATATTCCGTTATTTTTCGTTTAGTCACACACAGAAATGTAACAAATTCACATACACCAGGGTACGAGCACAAGTTTGAGATTCGATTTTGCATTATTAATATAGTCCTAGGTGTTTTTGTTTTTGTTATTTTTTTGTTTTTACTTTTAATATATTGGCGTTCATTTTTTTAATATATTTTTAACTGACAGATGTAACAAAAGTAAACGAATACCTGAACTTATATTTTGTGCGTCTCATAGATCACTTTCTATACGAAACAGATAGGCCCCTATCATAAATCATAAACATGGACAGTTACTGTTGTCCGACGAGTGCCCGGAAAATATGACGACGACGATAATGTTGCCAAACCCCCAACCGTTACACAGGCTATGGGCCTCGGCTAACACTTCACATCAAAGGACCCGGTAATTAATTTGCACAGGAGCCTGTCATCACCTAGCTACACTGTCTCCTCCTCCTCCTCCTCCTCATCATCATCATCATCCTTATCCTCTTCATTATCATCATTTTCCATATATAATACAGTAGGGTAAAACTATTAATTCGGAGTGTATTCATTCACATAGTCGTCAGAATGCAGGAAAGTGCATTTCCAAGCATCTATAAAACTTTTTTAAAAAATCCGAAGGAGGATCCCATACTCCCCCACCCCCTCCCCTTCACGTCTAAAATTTATCTTCCAGCGAAAATAGTGACAACAAATTACGCTCCTTTTTCCTCACGACCCTGCCCACCAGTGGCGGCTCTAGGATATATTTTCTGGGGTGGGGGGGCTAAGTTGTCCGACAGGGGGGACTTGATCTCGTAGGCTCGAGCTGGAGGAGGGGATTGAGAGGGGTTCCCCCTCCCAAATGAGATTTTTTTTAAAAGAATATCAACCTCTGGATGGCCGAAAATGGCATTCTCAGACTGTGTGACAGACGTGTTGGCTTGGTGTGGGCCTATTTTTATATGTTTAATGGTCTGACTGCCCGACGAGCTCTGTCCGGCAGGGGGGGGCTTGACCTGTCCGGTGGGGGGCTTAAGCCCACCCCGCTGGCGCCGCCACTGCTGCCCACACTTGGAGCACATCAGGGCGAATGTCAGTGAACTCTGGATCCGTACCTGAAGAGATATAGAGAACACTGATTTTTGTCGCGGGTGGCGGAACATTTACACCTCGAGGTGTAAAGTTTCGGAGAAGATGGTCAGGGAACTTACTATCTCGCGATTAACAAATCTACTAGAAGAGTTAGGAGTTGTGAGACACTGTGCAATGTAGGCCTAATAGTGCCTCTGTGTTTATTCGAATAAACACCCCGCTTTGAATAAACAAAGGGGTGGATCTAGAGATGTCCAAAAAGGGGGAAGGGAAAGGGGGTAGATCGAGAGTCAACACTACCCCAGGGTGCGGGGGAAGCGATTTTTTTTTGTTTTCTAGACTCCCAGAAATAACCTCTGAAGCGTGGGCGATCAATAAGTTTTTTTTTTTTTTACTAAAGGAGACTGCCCCACCCCCTTAATTAACGTCCACTCTAAAGCCTCATTTGGAATAAACTCCTTCCAAATAGAAGGAACATTCTCAACACATTCTATTAATGTTCTACTCACACAGTAGAATTATTTTTTAACCTGGAATGTGATCAATAAGTCTTTGATTACGCAAACACAATTTTGACGGTTAATATGTGTCGTGAAATTAATAAGCATTTATTTGAGTACAATTTAGGCTACATATCCATTTTACAAAAAACCGCCTCCCTCGAATAAACGCCCCTCAAAAACCCTCTCAACAATAAACGTCCCTGAACGTTTAATTCGAATAAATATTAAATACACTACCGTATGATATTGTTCTCGCGGTAATGAATCAACCGATAGGTCTATACGAATTTATTTTCGATTTCGAAAAGGGTAGGCCTACACCTCTAGGAGTATCATTTTTGGAGAAATGTGTCAGGGAACTTGCTATTTCGAGATTAGGATTTGTGATACACAGTGAAGTTTAATTAGTCTGTTATGACTGTGTTAATTGTGATTTATGCATTTTAGGTTTAGTGTAAAGTGTTATTTTAAGTGTTTTAGTTGGTAACTGTACATTATGGTTTGGTAATTTAAGTAAACACAATCACAGTAACATTCTCAGAATCTCAGAAAATCATTGGATCCGATGTTGACAGCTTTGTGATAACCTCAAAAATAAATCTGTAATTAAAACTGAAATTAGATATCATTATTAAAGACCTTTCCCATCATGTACTTTGAATTCACATTTAACATCCGGTCGCCTACCTTACACGCCCTAAAACGTGCAATATAACTCAGTTTATTTCTACAATGCTTAAACTTTGACAAATAATTTTCCTTTTGAAATTCTTGTGCATTTTTTTCTTTTTTTAACCATCCTTCGTATTAATTACCAGTTATAGCATCAGGAAAACGAATTTTACTTAAAGTAGTGTACGGTATTTTGTATTGTAATGTTATGGACATTGTATCAAAATAAAAGAGAATATAAAAACATAAACAGAAGATGCCACCAATGATGATTAATATTTTATACGTTTTTTCACTAGGGCTGTTTTCTCTATTTAAAAGCAATCAGCTTCGTATATAATACTTTTGTAGGCCTATCTACAAGTGATTACATACAGTTCTTGCATTTGTATTCAAAGAAAAAACACTTCAGAATTTTGTCGGCGAAATTTGTGTTTATCTTCCGCTAGTCTGACCAGAAAACTTTTCACCTAGTAATAGTTCTGTGTCTAGTACTGACTTTGTTTTGCCATACTTTTTCGATGACGTCACCTGTGTATTGCAAGCCACCATTTTGTTGGGAGTAGCTCACTGCGGCATTCCTGAGAACGTATTATATAACGTAAGTATATTTCCTTGTAATTTCATATACTTTTACATATTGTATATTATGTAGAATAGCTATTAATGACAATAAATTAGACTAGACCTGTGCTAGGATAGTTGGGTTCCAAGTCTAGGCAGCCAGGCTAGGCCTGCTTTCGCCGTGCGGCACGTACTGACTAGTAATTAAAATCAAAATGACGAGACCTCCCCTATCTATCCTAGCTAGCGAAGCGAAAATGATAGCTAGTCCAGGCCCCTAGGCCTACCTGATAGACCTTCGGTTTGTCTAATGATTTTAATCTTAGTTTTGATATAATAGGCAGGTTGTACTATGCCTACATATACTTTTTGAATGCAGCGTTCATATATCTGTTTATTATTTGCTTCCTGAAATATCGATTTTATCAATGAATGGTCTGTGATGAAAAGAAAGAATTGAATTGTGGAAACATTCCAGGAAGTACCGTACTCGCGCCAATAAGCGCCCCGTTTGAATAAACACCCCTCGTTGTTTATTCATTTTTTAAAACAATATTTTGTGATTGATTTTTTTTTTTGAAATGATAATCTAACTAATCCCGAGACTGTAGTTGGCATGATTTGAGCTGAGGATTGGATTTACATTTTCTTATGTCAATTTCAAAATGAGGATTTTTTTTCTTGACAGATGGAAGCTTCCTGGACAGTATCTTTCCAACTTTCCTCTTCTTACATTTGTCTACTTCTCTTTTTCTTTTCCTGACAATTTAGTACATTTTCATGTGAGTTTGCAATGATCCTGCTAATCTCAATCGGCAGATGGCCAACAAGCTTATACACCACCACCACCACTAATATCAACTGTTGTTGAAACTAACAGCATTCTTTTCACTAGCCATGCTCTCTGGACGATTATCTTTTCTGCACCAGAACCATTCGTAATCTTCGGTTTCCAGATGTCCTTACAATCTTTTTTTCATTCAAAAAGCGGCCATTGAAATTTCCAAGTTTCCAGAAGACCCCCTCAATTTTCATGTATTTCCATAAGCGCCCCCTCAATTTCCACTCTGTTTTCATAAGCACCCTGTTTGAATAAGCGCCTCGTTTGAATAAGCGCCTCTTAAAAAGTGCAATAAAAGCTTATTCACGCGAGTACGGTGCCAGTGTCATCACTCAGTGAGAGTACAGTAGGTTAATATTCAATAAAGCCTTCATGGTAAAAGTTGTTAATGTAACTGTCATAGATGCTATAATTTAAAGACCTTGTTGTAGCTATGGGTTTTGAAGATACAAGTGGAAATTATGTAAACATTTTTTCTGAGATTGCAGTTAATCTACTCAAGGTACAATGCTACATATAATAAAAGGCCTACTGTAGAACTGTTGTTTGTGGCACAGTCCGTAGGTCGAATCATACAGGATGACCCAGACTGAAAAATAATTACTGTAGGGTCTCTGCCGGGGATGCTCTGTTAACAAAAAGGCTTATAATGAAATCGTTATTGTAAGGGCCGATTTAATCATGTGTTAATTCTTAAATCTGATTATATTTTAATATCCCAATCCAATCTATATTTCAAATCAGAAATTAGAAATTGGTTTATGACTAGTGTAACAGTGCTACTGCCAAAGAAACAATAAAACTTTCAATCTTTATCAAATTAGTACATGTTCCAAGTATACTGCATGTTTACAGCATTTTGAGGGTTGCATCGTTGCGTCTTACTACCACCCAGTGGCTCAGTGTACTGCTACGCTTGAAAATCAATGCAGACTAACACCTACAAGTCAATCAACAATTCTACTGTAGTTAATTAAATATTATATTGTATTGTATAGATATACTAATAATAATATTGTCCACACGGTTAAAACAAATAAAACTGTTCTGTTACAGTATATTAATACGATGGATAAAAATTGAACAAGCAAGCTTGCATGCAAGGCCATCGTCATCGATCCAGGTCTCTGTGTGCGGTTGTTGTTGACATGCACTTCCACAGTATTTTTTGTAATTATAGGTCGATCTATTAAACTAAAAAAGGTATATAATTATTGTCAATAGGTAATACGAAATTGAATTTAATAGCAAATCAGAACCTGCTGCTGCAGAATGGGCCTATGGTGCCTCAGCTAGGCTGCATAGAGTAATAATATATATTAATGCTAGGCTACATTTGGCATCGGTGAACGTTGTAAACTAGGCCTAGGCCAAGTCTTAACCTACTTATATAGCCTGTCGAGTGCACCAGAATAACACAATACAATAATAAATGTTTGAAGATTCCTACTATAATATTTATCAAAACTTCGGTCTCCAAAATAAATCCATGTTGTTTATTGATAATCATTGTAACACCGTCTCTAGATAGGCTAGGATATTGAATTAACTATCAACAATAAAGTGACGTGAACAAACTTTCAATGCTCATTTTAACCCAATGCTTAACACAACGCAATTCGACACGTACACAACGCAACGACAACGGGTAAAATGCGTTGTGATTTTTTCAATAATACACTGTCCAGAACTGTATATGAGGCACATTTTGCTGGTGGGAATTTATAAAAATTGATTCTCCCTCCCTCAGACCACACTGTACAGTTCTTTGATTGCCACATGACGAAATATGCTGGGACAACCATGGGTTTAAGATGGGGATAATTAGCATTTACCTACATATGATATTGTTTAACCTCTAATTATGAGCCTATTTACCAGGATTAAATGGGGCATCTGTACAATGTTTTTTTTTAATGAATATACATTATTAGTAGTGATTGAACTGTGAAGAATCCTGGAGTTGGAAGTTGTAATACAGTACTTCTTTCCCAATTGAAAGGTAACTGTAGTTTGCAATTCTAGTGTCATGAGGTCAGAACGTGTGAACATCAATGAGAAGAGAATTGCATCAATTTACCTGGTTTTTAAAGCATTTCATAGATTTTATACTATCGTCATGTAGTGACAAATTAGTTGCTATTAGGTAGAGTTATGAATATACAGTATATAAAGGGGGTTAAGGAAATTTAAACAAAAAAGTATAATTAAGCTGAAATTCAATTAAAAAAATGCATGGAAGAGGAAAGATTTGCTTTACTACGGAAATACTGAGTGGTAGTCACAGAAGATGAATTTATTCCACTTAGTTCTAATCACAAAGCACTGTGATTTTTCTTTTTAATACATTTAAAATAACTTTTTCTGAATTACTGCATAATTACAATACATTGTTAATTAATGATTCATATTGTTGTTAACGAAGCAGAAACTGAACTCAGAAGTGACTGAATAAACACACATGGGTAAACCTTTTAAAAACACTATCGAACAACCTCTAATTTCACCTGATAATTAATATTCAGTGTTGAATTGAGGAAAGGAGTGAACCATATAGTACGTCAGTCTAGTACGTCAGTCTCGCTGAAAACTATTGATTGAGTATACTCAAGATTATGGACTAGACTATTGGGCAATTGATTTCTGCTCCATGTTCCAATATTTGTGATTAGATTAGTTGCCCAATATATAAATTACAGAGTGAGGAGTGGTTTTGAAGCACAGAACTACACAACATTCGTACAGTGAGATTCTTTAAAGCAGTTTTTGCAAACTTTTACTTCATTGCCTACTTGAGACACCAATTACCCCCATGTTCTTATATTATTATACAATGATTTTACATCAAATGTGTGTATAACAACATTTTGTGGCAGATTGTTCAACATTTTTTAAAACACCGTGGCTAGATACGATACCGTATTTCTACTTTAATTTGCTAAAGGTACAGTAAATGGCATTACTATACGTCACCATCACCCAATGAAATGCCAGAATGTGCGTGACATCATCTTTCAAGCCTGGCATTGCAGATCACCCACGATGAGCGGTGAAACGTCAACGATATACTGGGAAATTAGAACATCAAAAAGTAAAATACTGTACTTAATAAATAGGAGTAATTTATTGTTCCACTCAGTAAGGGTCATGTTAATTATCAAACAAGGACTGACAAATCTTTGAAGAAAAATAAATCTTTGATTTTTTCCCCATTGTGAATTTTGGCCCTCTAAAATGCATTGATCACTGAGCATATGGTCAGCACAACCTGGCAGCTTTGATGCAATATAGCCTGAATATAAAAACAGGGTGACTGACTTATAAAGCAATTAGCCAAGTTCGGACCCTATAGAAAATAGGATCCATTAATTCCTTAAAAAGTTGCCTTCAGCCTTGTGGCCTTAAGGCAATTTTTTTGGGAAATGCTGTTTCAGCCTCTATTTTCTGTAGGGTCCTCAGAACTTCACTATAAATTGCATACTTATTACTATTGTTTAGCGTTAGAGTTGATTAATATTTAATAACGGATATTAATATTATCAGTTGTTGAAAGAAAACATTAATTTCTAATACAGTACCACTACTAGACAGATATACCTTTTTAATCTATAGGGAACAAAGTAAGAATGAACATAAGTTTCCCATTTAAAATTAAAAATACTTCATATATTAAGGTAATAATACACAGTATTACCTCCCTAGAGTCTTTGCACCTTCAATATTTTGATGTACAGTACATTTGTAGGTTATTATTTTCAACTGATTATTAGAACTGTACGTAGAATGCCCTCTACCAGATGTTTAAATAATAATACAGACTACTGTCTAGTAGTTGCGTTGCATTAAATTAAACCTTTTAAATTGGCTGGTAATCAGTTCAAGAATTTTCATAGTTATACAGTATGAGTGAAACGGAGTTCTTTTGATCTGTGTCTAAATTGGAAGTTAAATTCTTTGATCCTTGTGGATGAGTAATTCGGTGTTTTAAATTGAATCTTTGAGGGCTTTAAACTTGCATTTTATCCCTAAGGATGGTTGGATTCAGTCTTAGCATTAGATTCAATTTATTCTTTCTCACATACTATAGTTCATTACAATGAAAAATATGTTTTCTTAGGAAAAGAAAAACATTATAAATTAATTAACATTAAAAGCTGTAGACTCTTATATATATCTCAAAATGGAAATTAAGTATA